CGGCATTCATGGCTTTATTTCTTCAATAAATCTTTAACTATTCTTGTGGTAACTAAAATCAGACAAATGAGAAAAAAACCATAAGGATTAGTCTCCCATAATTTTTTTGAAGACTGTTACCACTGTCTGTCAGATCTTCTTTCCTTTCATTTTCCACTATTCTACTATTTTCCCAATATTTCTTAAAACTCGTGGATTGAAGTCCTGAACTATCACTGGAACCAGTTAGCAGTGTTTACAGCTGTTGCCCACATTGTTTTCTGTGGTGTATTTCTAATATATTTGATTATTTGTTTCAAATAAAGATTTCTTACCTTCAATTCACAGTCTTCATTTACTGCCAGGTTGCCAGGTTTCAGATCCTGTAGATATTATCAGATTTGAAACGGATTTTTGTTATTTATTTTGCAGCACACAGAAAAAAGTACACTTTAAAAGTAAAATATTTATTTCATTTAGGTCAAATGGCTTTCATACAAAGACTTGGAACAGCAACAACCAAAGCAATGTCATAAATCTAAATTAGAAAATGCATCATAATAAACAACAGAAGCAAAGACGCAAATTTGAATAGATGTATGTTTTTTCCCATTATGTTCCACTCCTCCCACACAAATTACCTTTTGTTCCATTAGTAGTCATAAGTCACAAAAATATTTTCTAGCAAAAGAACTCAGTCATCTTAACGTATGTGTGGTCTGAACATAAATTTGTACCATTTAATACTAACACCACAAAGTTAAGGATACACATACAGCCAAACAGAGTAAAATAAATTTCCTTCACTGCTCCCGAGCTGGATGCATTGAATATCAAGATCTACTTTAAAAAAGACCCCATATCCTGATCTACCTAGAACGAGTATTGAAGGAATTGAACAAGATTTTAGGATCATATATAAAAGCCTATACTCTTTTCTGTAGGAAAATGAAATTCCTAACAGAAGAAATCAATTGAATGAAGACTGCAACATCAAAAAAAAAAAAATTACCAAATCTCTGTAACTACTGCAGAGACTTCTACTGATCTACAGAAGTTGTATTGCTAAGTTAAGCAACAAAGGGAAGAGTACTGGCATCGTTTAAGAAGATTTTGCAATGTTAGTGATACTGAAATATTCAGAGTTACAGAGAAAGAAAAATCTGAGAGAAATTTTTCTTCAGCTTTAGCAAATCTTTGTCATACTTTAGTACACAAGACTTTTAGAGGAATATTCTCACAGAACTTAAGTCACCCAACAGTTTCACATGGGATATGGATTAAGATCAGAGGGGCCCGAGAGAGAAGCAAAGGGGTGCAAAGGAGCTGACATGAAACAGAAGTTCAAGAGTCAGCAAGAGGGAGCTCAGAAAAAGCCTGAGCAACTGTAAAGTTTAGATCATGATTACAACGGTTATGGAAATGAAAATATCTCTTTATCAAATTATTCTGGCAATTGGCATAATTTCCATGTCCATCTTAAAACTACTATACAATGTGCACTTTCTGTGGTGCTCCTGATATTTTACTACAGAAGGTCAGTTCCTACCGTTCTGATGTAAACAGAGCCTTTGGGGAAGTTCTAGTACTTGGCACTATGAGTATACCATTCAAAACTCATCTCTTCCACAGTGCAGAAGTGATTTTAATCAGAACACCCATTTCCCCCAGAAAAAAAATGAGGTTTTCAAGGCTCTAAAATTTTTGGTTTTCTTTTCAATTCCCATATGTTCACTCTTCCCCTAATACTTCTAACTTTAACATGATGTTTAAACAACATTTAATTATTGTTTTTAAAAGTTTACTCCAACCTTTGTTAAAAGCCAGAAATTCATCCACTTTAATTTATACACTATTTGCTCTCATGGGGACTTAAAGCCTTCATGAACCTGAGCTTTTAAGAAGTCTAAATCTAAACTGACTTCAGTGCAACGGGGGTGCCCAGCTTACACTGATATAGCCACACTAATTCTATTAAACAACAAAAAAAAAAGGCAAAATCAAAACGAAACATCATAAATAGAAGTTCAGACATATTTACATGCATGCTTACACACACATACCAAACACATTATCAGAATATAAGCATATTTTATATTGTTTCCACTTACCCTGTGAATGATGCCTGACGAGTGAATATACTGTAAAAACAAGAAATATTTTTTAGTTAATATGGTCCTGACTTTAAGAAGATGCCGGGGGGGGGGGGGGTGAGTGGGGGGGGGAAGAGAGGAGGAGGGGACTTTTTCATGGTGCTCAAGTGACCTGAAATTAGAAAATGTTGGTTTATTGTGCAGAGGATCTTTTTAGCTTTGCTTAGCTTTAACTCTCAGTAAATGAGCATGACTTGTATTATATAAAAAAAAGAATGAAATGGTGTTCCAAAAGGAATATGAGCAGACAGGTTAGAAGCAGTGATGATCAAAAAGATACAAATTTGTAACAGAAATTCATATTTTTAAGTACAGTATTCTGAATAATTATATACTTTCTACCAAGGTTACTGTAGAATGATTTTAAGAGAAATTCTTAACTGGACTCCTAGATCATACTTCAGGTCACAGCTTTCTAAAGAAAAAACAGTTACTGATAATAAAGCAGATAACAAAGCAAAATTGCCCTCTCCTCCCGCGATACCTCCCCTCCCTCAAATAAAACAGTCTGAGTCTTGCTTCAGATCATATAATTTTCTAAATCTTTCCATATATAAAGTCCTGTTTTCGGTTAGTTTTTGGCATTGCTAGATACATATGTTTATCAAATAACCCTACTATTTTGTATATCGGAAATGCTCTCTTGCAACTGAGATCTCAGCTGTACTACAATAGCTTCAATTCCTATGCTTCAGCCGGCCTGCATTTTAAGAACGCATTTAAGACCAGAATGACGTCGT